GTACATACATGCGATACACGCATGTGGTGCATACATGTGGTGCATACACGTGATACACACATGCGATACATACGTGCGTTACATGCACGTGATACATACATGTGGTACATACAAGTGATGCATACATGCGATACATACATGCGATACATACATGTGGTACATGCAAGTGATACATTTATGTGGTACATACAAGTGATGCATACATGCGATACATACATGCGTTACATGCACGTGATACATACATGTGGTACATGCAAGTGATACATACATGTGGTACATACAGGTGATGCATACATGCGATACATACATGTGGCACTTACGCGCGGTACGTACGCGCGGTACATGCATACTCTGCGAGGCTGTCACCGCCGTGTAGCGTACAACCGAATTCACGCACGGAACCGTCGCCAAATCAACTGCTGGACGGGTGTCTCCCCCTACGCCGTGACGGGTCGCGCTTGTGTCATTTGACCATACTTCACCGGCATGGCCGGTTTGGGTCGGTGGGTGGCAGGGCGGGGTTGGGGGGGGGGTAGCATAGCCGTTGGAGCATGGTACGGTACAACATACGTTTCCGCGCTTGACATCCGCTGACAAAACGCATCGCCGTCAGCAGCCTACAGCGCCTGTTACGCGCGGTGGTTTGACACAACATCCAAGCGGTCATCCAGGTTCAAAAACCAAACTTCGCTTGCGAGATCTGGCGAGCTCTTCTCGTTGATACACGTTATTACATATGTATATATATATTTTAAAATGTCACAGAAGCTGAGCACAGGCCCAAAGGCCAGCAACAATCAGCATTAATGAAGGGGCGACAGAGTTGGTGGCTTAGCCGCCGGACAAAGGCATCGTCGCGAACCGCGCTGCTTATGGGGCCGTCTGGAACGCTCTTCCCTTCCGATATTAGGAAGCTTCTCGGAGCTGTGCTGCACTTTTAAATCTGGGTTGAAAGCGCATTTCTTGAGAACTGCTTTCTAAGTTTAGTTTATCTTGTCCTTCCACCGCACCTCCGATTAGCGCGGTTGGCTACGTATGGTGCGAAAGAAGTTCGACATACATCATCACTATCACTACCATAGCACTACCATCATCATCACCATCACTACTATAGCACTACCATCGTCATCACCATCACTGCTATAGCACTACCATCATCATCAACATCACTACTATAGCACTACCATCATCATCACCATCACTACTATAGCACTACCATCATCATCACCATCACTACTATAGCACTACCATCATCACCATCACTACTATAGCACTACCATCATCATCACCATCACTACTATAGCACTACCATCGTCATCACCATCACTGCTATAGCACTACCATCATCATCACCATCACTACTATAGTACTACCATCATCACCATCACTACTATAGTACTACCATCATCATCACCATCACTACTATAGCACTACCATCATCATCACCATCACTACTATAGCACTACCATCATCACCATCACTACTATAGCACTACCATCATCACCATCACTACTATAGCACTACCATCATCATCACCATCACTACTATAGCACTACCATCATCATCACCATCACGACTATAGCACTACCATCGTCATCACCATCACTACTATAGCACTACCATCATCATCACCATCACTACTATAGCACTACCATCATCATCACCATCACTACTATAGCACTACCATCATCATCACCATCACTACTATAGCACTACCATCATCACCATCACTACTATAGCACTATCATCATCATCACTACCATAGCACTACCATCATCATCACCATCACTACTATAGTACTACCATCATCACCATCACTACTATAGTACTACCATCATCATCACCATCACTACTATAGCACTACCATCATCATCACCATCACTACTATAGCACTACCATCATCACCATCACTACTATAGCACTACCATCATCACCATCACTACTATAGCACTACCATCATCATCACCATCACTACTATAGCACTACCATCATCATCACCATCACGACTATAGCACTACCATCGTCATCACCATCACTACTATAGCACTACCATCATCATCACCATCACTACTATAGCACTACCATCATCATCACCATCACTACTATAGCACTACCATCATCATCACCATCACTACTATAGCACTACCATCATCACCATCACTACTATAGCACTATCATCATCATCATCATCACTACCATAGCACTACCATCATCATCACCATCACTACTATAGCACTACCATCGTCATCACCATCACTGCTATAGCACTACCATCATCATCACCATCACTACTATAGCACTGCCATCATCATCACCATCACTACTATAGCACTACCATCATCATCACCATCACTACTATAGCACTACCATCATCATCACCATCACTACTATAGCACTGCCATCATCATCACCATCACTACTATAGCACTACCATCATCATCACCATCACTACTATAGCACTACCATCATCATCACCATCACTACTATAGCACTACCATCATCACCATCACTACTATAGCACTATCATCACCATCACTACTATAGTACTACCATCATCATCACCATCACTACTATAGCACTACCATCATCATCACATCACTACTATAGCACTACCATCATCACCATCACTACTATAGCACTACCATCATCACCATCACTACTATAGCACTACCATCATCATCACCATCACTACTATAGCACTACCATCATCATCACATCACTACTATAGCACTACCATCATCATCACCATCACTACTATAGCACTACCATCATCACCGTCACTACTATAGCACTACCATCATCATCACCATCACTACTATAGCACTACCATCATCATCACTATCACTACTATAGCACTACCATCATCACCACCATCACTACTATAGTACTACCATCATCATCACCATCACTACTATAGCACTACCATCATCACCATCACTACCATAGCACTACCATCATCATCACCCTCACTACTATAGCACTACCATCATCACCACCACTACTATAGCACTGCCATCATCATCACCATCACTACTATAGCACTACCATCATCACCATCACTACTATAGCACTACCATCATCACCATCACTACTATAGCACTACCATCATCACCATCACTACTATAGCACTACCATCATCATCACCATCACTCCTATAGCACTACCATCATCATCACCATCACGGCTATAGCACTACCATCATCATAACCATCACTACTATAGCACTACCATCATCATCACCATCACTACTATAGCACTACCATCATCATCACCATCACTACTATAGCACTACCATCATCATCACCATCATTACTATAGCACTACCATCATCATCACCATCACTACTATAGCACTACCATCATCATCACCATCACTACTATAGCACTACCATCGTCATCACCATCACTACTATAGCACTACCATCATCATCACCATCACTACTATAGCACTACCATCATCATCACCATCACGACTATAGCACTACCATCATCACCATCACTACTATAGCACTACCATCATCACCATCACTACTATAGCACTACCATCGTCATCAGCATCACTACTATAGCACTACCATCATCATCACCATCACTACTATAGCACTACCATCATCATCACCATCACTACTATAGCACTACCATCATCATCACCATCACTACTATAGCACTACCATCATCATCACCATCACGACTATAGCACTACCATCATCATCACCATCACTACTATAGCACTACCATCATCACCATCACTACTATAGCACTACCATCATCACCATCACTATTATAGCACTACCATCATCACCATCACTACTATAGCACTACAATCAACATCACCCTCATGATCATCACCGTCATCGTCGCCGTCGTCGTCATCACCACCACTGATAGCGCCCATCGACTAGCGCGGTTGGCTACGTACGGTGCGAAAGAAGGCAACATACATCGAGAGTTAATGTTTGTCGAACTGAGCAAGGTTCTTACAAGAATTCGGGATGAAGAGACGATGGGAGAGATAGCATGGGGGAAGTGGTAAGATCAGCGTTCTCATCGACATGGTAGTGGGTGAGTGAGTGGGTGGGTGAGCGTGTGGGTGAGCGATTGGGTGAGTGAGCGAGTGGGTGAGCAAGCGAGCGAGTGAGTGGGTCGGTAGGTTGGTGAGTGGGTGGGTGGGTGGGTGAGCGGATGAGTGAGTGGGTGGGTGAGCGTGTGGGTGAGCGAGTGGGTGAGTGAGTGGGTGAGTGAGCGGGTGAGTGAGCGAGCGAATAAGTGGATGGGTGAGCGAGCGTGTGGGTGAGCGTGTGGGCGTGCGTGTGGGTGAGTGGGTGGGTGGGTGAGCGGGTGAGTGGTTGGGTGAGCGTGTGAGTGGTTGGGTGAGCGTGTGGGTGAGTGGGTGGGTGAGCATGTGGGTGAGCGTGTGGGCGAGCGAGCGAGTGGGCCAGTGAGCGAGTGAGCGAGTAAGCGAATGGGCGACTGCGTGGTGGTGGTTGTACACTTTGTGTCGGATGAGACGAAACCGTGAGTTGGTAGTAGCGATACAAGCAGGGTCGGAATAAGATTGTGTACGCCCCTGGGCTACAGGTACTGTTGAGGTCCCCCAGTAATATTTTCAAAAGGAAAACAAAGTTAAAGAAAAGTAAAATGTATTTTTTTTTACAAGGCTAACAACAAATACAACTCAGCATTCACAAGTGAAATCACTTTTCACTCCATCTCTGGAGGCCCCCTCCAGTTGGCTGAGGCCCCTGTGCAGCAGCCCCTTGAGCCCCGTGCCTTAATCCGGCCCTGGATACAAGACGAGTGATAAGGAGGCATAGGCCAATGACCAAGAACGGTGAACATTTTATATATATATACGTAAAAAAAAAACACTTTTTTCAGAATTTATTCTAAATTTAAAAAAAACCGCACACACACACACAGCCACCGCCACCGCAGCAGTGCCACGATTATTAATTTCGCGACGTAAAAATAGCAGCCATGAGCTCAGGAAGGCCTTAAAAATGTTGCTGCTCGTTCAGCGATAATCGAGGCGTGAGGACCACGCACACGTGTGGCGGCGGTGGCGACGGCGGTGATGCCTTGAAGGTGTCAAGTGTCTCCCTCGCTGCTATTCTTGGAAGTGGCCCGCGATGGGCCCATGTTGAGTCGGGCAGCTGCTATAAGGGCGCCTGGCTCCTCATCCAGCGGCTCTTCCATCGGGTGCTTCAAGTCGGCGAGATCAGCCACCCCCCCCGTCCGTTCTCTCCTCTCTTTCTCTCACACACAAGACAGGTACCCAACATCACACACACAGACACACACGCGCACGCACACACACAGAGACACACGCAGACACACGCACACGCAAAAAGGCACACGTGCGCGTACGCGCGGTGGCTAGGAGATGTTAACTCCCTCGCCTGATGTGCAGGAGGTTCGTGGGTTCGATCCCGACCCTGACGCCTGCTGCTGCTGCTGCTGTATATTTGGAGTTTGCGTCTCTCGTCATCATCACGGTGGCTATGAGATGTTAACTACCTCGCCTGGTGTGCAGGAGGTCATGGGTTCGATCCAGACCCTGTTGCCTGCTGCTGCTGTATATTTGGAGTTTGCCGCGTCTCTTTCTCCCCTCGCCCACCGCGTGGTCGCGTGGATTTTTCTCCACGCGTTTAGAGTATTTGACCGCAGCCATAAATTTCCGCGCTATAAGCCGCCACTGCGTTTAATTCGCCGGAACATTTAGAAACACGCGTTTAGAGTATTTGGCTCCTATAAATGTCCACATGATGATGATTATAAGCCAACTTCGTTGAGCTATCATTTGTGATGGCGAGGTCGCTTCTAAAACAAGACCTACAGAGCTCAGTGGGGCCTTACCTGGTAGAATGTAAAAAAAAGTAAATAGCAAAAAACAAAGACCCCCCCCCCTCCCCCGTATAGCTTTAACATACTTTCGGGGCAAGTGGCTGTTCGCGAGCACCTATGAAGGCCGGCACGGCACACGAGGGGGTAAGGTGGCCGGCACCACGCCCGGCCGCCTTTGTCTCCCTCGTAGTATCGTAATAATCGAGGCCAATTATTCGTGCCGTTGTGGATGGTGAGCGCTATCTCGTACCCTCGTGGTGAGTGCCTTGGGCCCATGAGCATCACACTGGAAGCCCAGCTGAGCTAGCAGCGGCGTTCCGGCAACCAAAAAAAAACCACCCGAGCGAGAGACGACGTGAAATCGGGTGCGATCGAGCGGCAGTTCGGTACATCAAAGACGTGGCATCACCTTGCTTGTGCGTTCCGCTCATTTCCGTGCGGAAATACAAATTATTTGTTGGTTTTAACTAAGTGGGGGGGGGGGGGGTTGTAGTTGTTGCTGCTTTTACAATTCGTACATGACGTGCGACAAACTCAATGCGTGAATGTGAATATATGCTACTACGTATGTCATTCAGAGACAATGCCCTCAGGCTGAAAAATTCCGTCACCGCAGAGTTCACCATGTCAGTACACGCGTAACAAATACTACGTTATGTATGGACTCGTGTCATGTATATGTACTCGCACATGTTATGAATGCGCTCTCTGCGTGTCAACACGTGCACAGCGTGGCGAGGTCCACAGGGGTGTGACTGATGGTAATTCTCAGGGTGTTCTCGAAGGGCTAGGGAGCTGAGTGAGTGATGTACATTCTAATGATGCCCTAGAAAGGCTGGAGAACCGAGTGAGTGGGGTACATTCTAATAATGCTCGAGAAGGGCTAGACTGCTGAGTGAGTGATGCCTTTTCTAATGATGCTCTTGAAATGCTAGAGAGCTGATTGAGTGATGTACATTCTAATGATGCTCTGGAAGGGCTAGAGTGATGAGTGAGTGATGTACATTCCAATGATGCCCTAGAAGGGCTACAGAGCTTAAGTGAGTGATGTACATTCTAATTATGCTCTGGAAGGGCTTGAGTGACGAGTGAGTGATGTAAGCTCTGCAGGTGCTCTGGAAGGGCCAGAATAGACGACAAACACAATGGGCCCCTCCGCCCATCGTTAAGTTCCGGCGAATTAAAAATGTCTTGCGAGACAACGACCCGTGATTAGCGATGGCCCGCGAGATGCCACGCGCAGAGAGAGAGCAGAGAGAGAGCAGAGAGAGACTTTTGACTTTTAAACGACTTTTATTGCCGCCAGCAGCAAAAGCACTGGAGGCGATTCCGATACGAAACACACAAAGTCACCAGCAACGCAAATGAAAACAAACGCAAAAAATCCACGCGCTGTGGCGCTAAATGCACCGCGCACAACACGAAAGAAAAGTCACGTGGTGGTGGTGGTGGTAGTGGTCATCGCGCACGCCACGGTGACGAGCGAGCGCTTCAGAAGGTGAACACGTGGAGGGTGCCGTCCACGCTGGTACAGAGAGGGGCTTGTCTGGCTCCCCAGCGTTCGAAGAAGACGCGCTGCACATCACCGACATGTGAGCAGAGAGAGAGAGAGCAGAGAGAGAGAGCACAGAGAGAGAGAGAGACGATCCTAAGTGAGGGGAGAGCGAGGGGGAGAGGGGGGCCAGCGAGGGCATTGCGTGAACATCGACCAAAGTCGCCAAGCGTGCTCACTGATTTGCCAATGAAGGTGCCACCACAATTGCGCACAGGGCAGGCTTGGAGGTAATTTCGCACGAACGATGTGCACGTGGGTGTACGCACTGCGCTACGAACCCGGCGACCCGAGTTCGATCCCCGCTCGCGGCCACCAACACCAGGTGACGATTATCTGAACCGGTCCTGGGCCCTCCCCTAGGTCGGCTCGGCCTCAAATGAGTGCCTGGTGCAGTATGTAGTCAAATGTCGGCACTAGGGGAGACAAAGGCGGCCGGGCGTGGTTGCTGGCCACTCTGCCCCATCTTGTGCCGTGACGGCCTTAATAGGTACCACTCGCGAACAGCACAGCACTTGCCCCAACATTCTGTTGACAGGCTATACGGGGGACCTTTGTCTTTGTGTATATTGGAACTTGCTTCACACACGTGCATTGCATTGATCGTCGACACCATCATCATCATCGTCATCATCGCCGCCATTGTCTGTCACGATCGATCCACTGCTGGATGATGGTCTCACCCCCCCTCCCCTCCTCCCCCAAGCTGTCGCCACCTCTCTGTCTGTCACGACCCTGTGGAGTAGCGGCTGCAACCCAATCAGTCGACACACGAGCGGGACGTCCGCTTGCTGGACACGTGTGACGAAATAAATAAAAAATAGAGCTTTGTAGCTCATCGGATTCCTCCGGTCTAAATAAAGATATCTGATCGCGAGTTGCCCTGACCTTCTCTCTTTACGTATTCCCCCGTCTCCACGCGAACGATGTTTATTGAAATTGTTTTTGTTGTTGTTGTAAACGCAAACCATCAGTCGCCACGGCCGTCCAGGAGCGTAGAATTGTCCACGAGATTATTTCATGGCTCCATCTCCCACCCTGGACGTGTTCTCTCCATCGGTTAATAAATATGTAGTGCAGTACAAGCCCCCCATTTACGTCTCTCCCTCCCCCAAACTTTTACGTCGTTTTGCAAATGTGTCGTCGCTTAGAAATACGTCGTCGCTTACAACTACGTCGTCGCTTACAAATACGTTGTTTCGCAGATACGTCTTCACTTACAACTACGTCATCGCTTACAACTACGTCGTCACTTACAACTACGTCGTCACTTACAACTACGTCGTTTCGCAAATACGTCGTAGCTTACAACTACGTCGTCACTTACAACTACGTCGTCACTTAGAACTACGTCGTTTCGCAAATACGTAGTAGCTTACAACTACGTCGTCACTTACAACTACGTCGTCGCTTACAAATGCGCCATTACTGTATTACAAACACCACTACTACCCTGATTTGCGTCGCCTCAAACCCCACACTTACGTCGCTGCTGACAGCATCGTCCCTCTGCCTCCACCACCAACAACAACAACAACCGCCATTCGCCACTAAGTGGCGGTGGCGTCACCACGGCTCTTGTGCCAGGCTAAGTGCACGTTGAGGCCACGTGAAGTGTCGAACGCCCGCTGGCAGGTGGTCACGGGGCAGACCCAGCAGGTGCCGCGGGTCGACTGACTGAGACGACTGGCTGAGACGACTGAGACTGTGTCGTCTCAGTCAGTCGTCTGCCTCCACCACCACCACCAACCCACTACTTCCACCCTGTAAATCGCCTCGAGTTTACGTCGTTTCGATATTCATCCGTCGCACATTTCGGACGTACTCTTTCGCTCAAATAATCCATTGTGAATTGACGAATCCGCACCTCATCGCTCGAATGCCTCTCACTAAATGGCTTCAAGACCTCGCCGAAGTCCACTTCAACCACCCCCCCCCATACCCCCCTGTTTCCACTGGCACATCCGAGCCGAGCCAGCCGTACGTTGCGTCACTTAGCACGCGCGGACGGGTGACGTCGCCTGTCACACGTCCGTTTCGCGTGACGTCGGCGGAACGGCTCGGCTTCTGGAGTGATATATTTAAAAAAAAGCACACAACGCTGGTGCCTCCCAAGCCGCGCCAAGCTGGCTCGTATGTTACGTAACAAGTGCTGTTAGTAGCGAGTAGCAGCACGCATGAAGGCCCGGCACTTTGGCACACGGGAGAGTGTGGGGTGGCCAGCGATAAGACGCCCGGCCGCCTTTCGTACGCACGACGAACACCTTTCGCGCCCGTACCTAGCGAACCGCGCTGAGTCGGAGGTGCCGTGCGAATGCACAGCGTACACGGCACGGCACGGCACCGGCGGCACGGCTCGGTTGTCACCAGTGGAAATGTGCGTGGGCTCGGTGTGCGGCAACACCTGCCTCTGTCTCTCTCTCTCGCAGCGCTCGATTTCTTTAAAAGTCAGCGGGGTGTCTCTCCACGCCCCCCCTCCGCCCCCCCCCGGCAGCCCCCCCCCCCATCACGGGGGGGCATTGGGGGAGTTCGTGCCATTCTCGCGTTACAGCCAAGACGGCTTGGCGGGAGGGGGTGGGGTGGGTGGCGTGGGGAGGGGGAGCGATTGGATTTTATTGATTTCACCTTCGGCTGGCATCGTGGGGCCGCGAGCGGTGGCGCAGAGCCCGGGTGATGTCGGCCCTCGGGTGGGTGGTGGTGGGGAGGTGGTGGTGGGGAGGTGGTGGTGGGGAGGTGGGGTGGGTGGTGGTGGTGGGGAAGTGGGGTGGGTGGTAGTGGGAAGGTGAGATCGGTGTCTTTCTCTCCGTTTGTCTGCGTCTCCATGCCGGTGGGAAATATGAGCGCAACGGGCGATTCTGGGGGGAGACAAAGGCGG